CCCCCCCCCCCCCCCCAGTTCTTCCTTCCTCTCTGCTTGCGCTCCAATACATCTGTTCATCCATGAGGTGCCCCCGGATTGCTGGGTGTTTATGCAGATTCAGATAACAGGGCGACCCTTCTGATTCTAGGCTAATAAGGAAAGTGGCACCTATTGTATCCAATGGATTGGTAAACTTTTGCGGGAGACTATTTGGATTTTCTATACCTGGTCCATACCGTGCCCAATAGAGAACACATCCATAGCTTATCAAACCCAACAACAACAGCCATCCATCATGGCCCAGGACAGGGTGATCAGTAAATCGACCGCCCAGGTAGCGATGTTTGCAGGTGCAACTCAGGATGCAGTCAGTGGTTATAAAGCCCTGGAGACGAGCTGGTTTGTCTTCTCCTTTAAAGGAGTGTGTATCGGTTTTTGGTGGAAGGTTCCCTAGATTGCTAGGAGTTTCCTTCTAACCTGCTCTTAATCCGTTGCTGAAACAAAAAACAGGACTATGTAGCACTTTAAAGACTAACAAGATGGTTTATTAGGGGATGAGCTTTCGTGGGCCAGACCCACTTCCTCAGATCAAATAGTGGAAGAAAATTGTCACAACCATATATACCAAAGGATACAATTTAAAAAATATGAAAAGGACAAATCAAATTTCAGAACAGAAGGGGGATAGGGGGGAGAGGTAAATGTCTGTGAGCTAATGATATTAGAGGTGATAATTGGGGAAGCGATCTTTGTAATGGGTAAGATAATTAGAGTCTTTATTCAAACTTAGGCGTAAAGTGTGGAATTTAAGCACGAATGACAGTTCAGAGGATTCTCTTTCAAGTGCAGTCTTAAAAGGTCTTTGCGACAATGCCCTTTCTGGTTGAAATGGCAAGAAACTGTTTTTTCTTTGTGATCCTGTCTCATATCTGTGTTGTGGGCATCGATCCTTTGGTGAAGTGTCTGAGACGTTTGTCCAATGCACATAATCAATGAGGGAGGAGTGACTTTTTTAGCGGAGGGAATCCGCTTGCCTGGCAACCTTTTCCAGGTTGTGTCAGTCTGGAGGATACCTGGGCTTTTATTTCTGACTACTGAGAGAAAAAGGAACTCGGGGGGTCCTACGACCCGGGTGCGTCCTGGGAGCCATAAATCGGTGTGCACCGGAGCAGAAAGCCCCTCCCTCTCTCTCTCTCCTTCGCTCCCTACGAGGCTGAGGAGCCACTTTCACCCAAAGCAGAGCTGTGTCGGATACAGAGGAAGGGTTGGGAGGGAGGGGATGTTACGGCTGAGGCTGAGCGCCTGGTATTCACACGGGACTCTGACTTCTCTTTCGTTCCCTTGTATCCCACCCCAACTTCCCCGCCCTTGGCTAGGCTGCTGGAGAACCCCTGGGGAAGTAAGGGGTCGGGATTGCGTGCGTGCCTGGCCGCTATTCGCTGTCACCCTGCTCCCTGGGCGCTTGGCAGTGGCAGGAACGGCTGTGGTGCCCGTTGCGCTCGGTGCGGCTTCCCTCCGAATTAGCGCGTTCACACTGCGTCCGTG